GCCGCACTAGCTAATATTGCCTAATGCACTTATGCCGATTCTGAGTCAAACACAATGAGTCCCTGGGAAGCTCTCCAGCAGGAATGCGCGTCATAATGATAGACCGTATATTTACTGGCCGCGCCGAATTATTCCGAGTTCCCTAACAGAATACAGCGTGCCAATCGTTAGCACCGCTTATGGACGACTGCCCTTGGGCGTTTTACGCACGACCGAATGTCAAACCGGTATGACACTGAGCCGCACGCCCTCTCGCGTTCGTTCCTTGAAAGTGTTTGGCGCGAACAAACCCCCGTCCCGGACATAAGGATTTAGGTCCGCGAGCAAACCGGTCAGCGGGACAAGGTCGCGAAGGCAAGTTGCAAGACCGAATCTACAACCAAACTAGGCCACCTTAGGCACCCCATCAGATCTTGCAACCCTAACCAGCGCCTCAAAAAATAGCCCTAATGTGGCAAGTCGGAGGGTCAGCCTCCACTGGATGCCCCTCCTGGGCATCGCAGCACTTTAACAAGTCCTGTACTGGACAGAAGTCCGACGACCTCTTTCAAAACCTATCTGTGCCCCTACGATTAGTTCCGCAATCCGACCGGATCAGGTCTGCAAACAGCGACGCGACACGAAGCGGCCCCGAGCGGCCTCCTAAGCTTCAGTGCAGAGAGCACCCACAAATTCCACATGAACGTCGTCTGTGGAGAGCCGAACGAAACGCACAGAGAGTCCCTAGTATGAATTTTCAACAAGTAGGCCTAGCCAGGCCACCCACCATATTATCATTTACTAAAATAGTGCGGCAGCTGATTTCAATCTGATAATCTCCAAAACTAGCTAGCCTGTTAGACAAGTAGTCCTATGCTCATATTTCAATTAATTTTTCAAAAGCACCAATGTTCAACTACAGAATTAATTCAACCAAATTAATCACCTAGGCGCATAGGTCAACTGGCAAATTAAACAAAACAATAACGTAAGGGACAGCCCTACTTCTTCGCAAAGCAAAATGATTAAACACTATCTATGTATATGTTACATAATTTTTCAAATAGCGCGCCATTCAATTTCCTTTCAGCAAACAGACGCAACAATCAAATACAGTGATATGTACAAAACACATGCAGTAGCATTTAAAGGAGTAGATTAAATTCAATTCTTTTAATTTAAACCGCTACAAATAGGAAAATTTCGCGGAAAGCCCAAAGCAATTTTTTAATTTTAATTCAAAGTATTTTTTAACTAAGTGCTCGACCAAACCAAATCTAGTACCCCTTGACAGCGTGATTCAACGCTCCAGGGGGGCCCTAATCTTCCCACCACCAAGGGGAGGCCACATGGCGTGAACCCGAGATAAATAGAGCACAACCTCTAACAGTTGCCACTCGGGTTGTACGCCTTCACTGAGGCCGTCGGCAACAGAACATTTTGACAAGTGGACTGTTGACGGCTTAAGGCTCAGTGGAGGCGGCCGTGGTGGGAGCTAAGGCGGCAGCTAGACAGGGCCGCCTCCATCAAATGGGGAACAGTGGTACACCTGTCGCGGCCACTCAGCTAACGGAAGTGAGAAGGGTCCAGCGGACCGATGAGTGGCCGTGAAGTTCCTCTTCACACGCTGAGGGGGGGTGATGACACCCCCGCCCCTGGGGGAATTACCCCCCGACTGGTCGGGGAAGGGACCCCTTTCAAACTTAGGGGCCTGATGACTGGCCGGCGGGCGCCGAGAGTCGCCCGGCAGAGGGCGTGGCTGAGCGCCCCCACCCTTGGGGGTCGAGGGCCTGGCAGAACCCCGAGAGGAGACGCCCTTCGCACTCAGGCACAAAACGGCATGATGATTGCCCTGGCAATGCAGACAGGGCCGCCGATGCGGACAGTCTCGCTGGAGGTGTCCTCCCAAACATGAGCAGCACCAGCGGCGCTCCTTGGCGATAGTTCGCCTCGCTGGAACCGGCTTACCTAATAATTTCGGGCACGACGTTACCCGATGATCAGATGCTCGACAATAGGAGCAGGGGGGGGGTTGACGACGACTTGCCTGGAGGATTCAGCCTCTCACTGGACACGGCTCGTAAGTCGTCAACGGTGCCCGCCGCGCTCTCTATCTGCCGGCACTGCTCCTCCAAAAACCGCAGCAGGTCATAGAAGGGCGGAATATAGGAGGCCTCGTCCCCGCCGTACCTCTCCTCAAAATGGATTCGAAGGTCGAGAGGTAGACGGGACAGCACGATGCGGAGCAACAAAAAAGCCCATTCGCCCACTGGTAAACCCAGCCGCCTCAACGTATTACAGGCCACCAAGACTGGATCCAACAGGTCCGGACGCAGTCTGGCCCGGTCACTAAGCAGCGGGAGGCTTAGAAGCTGCTTAACATGTTCGTCCGCAATTCGCCGGACGTTGGCGTATCTTCTGGCTAGGAGGTCCCGAGCAGTCTGGTAGGCGTCGTCCGACAATCTCAAGTGGCCGACGACGCCCAGGGCCTCCCCCTCCAGTGAGGCCAGGAGGTACACCATCTTTTGGCTCGGGGTCAAGTCACTCCGGGCGTCCACTAGGCTGTCGAAAAGACCAACGAAGGTCAGCCATTCGGAAAGGACCCCGGAGAACTTTGGCAGGTCCAGAGTTGGGAGTCGTCCCAACAGCTCCGGCTGAAGCTGCTTCAGAGAGGACTCGGACAGGTCACTCATCCGAGCTTCACGCGCCTCCTCGGCATACCTGCCTTCAGCCTCGATCAACTCGTCCGTGAGCCACAAGAACTGCTCATAGTCCGCGAAGCAGGAGTCCAGGACTCCCTTCTCCACATCCGAATCCTCGAGCTCAGCGTAAGCCTCCTCCACTGCGGCCCTTCGAGCATCCACCTGCTCGAACTGCTTCATCAAGTTATGGACCCTATCCGGTCGACCTATCAAAGCATGGGCGCTTGTGGCCCAGCGTAGCTCAGTCCGCAAACAACGGATTAGTAGCTTGGGCGATGTCATCACTATTAAATGCAAATTACGACGCGGCTTGAGCACAGATTACAAAGATAACAAACAAAAAATACAACAAAAATTAACAGTTAATAAATGCAGTTCCTATCAAATCGCATTGAATAGAAATTACACAAATACGAATTACTACGTATCAACCAAATACAAGTTAGCACAAAAGAAAAGACACAAATCAAATCAACAAATAACAAATACTAGTGCGATCAAATCAAGTTAAATTCAAATGGCGCAAACACCATTACTACTCTTTAGTTCAAATACAACTTACAGTATAAACGAAGATACACATCACGGTCGATCAACAAAAAATGCCTAGCTCGGAAATCAACCCTTCGATAAGTAATCCACTACAACTATCCGACAACGATAATTAACTGATTACGTAAAAATAACCATCTACCTACATGACGTATATCTCTAGAAAACTCCCGCTTGCGCAACCTAGGGCGCGGCTTTTCAAATCTACCCACTAACCAAAAAAAGGCAAGCAACAAAGAACACAGGGAAATAATTCTATTATTACGTACAAAAAAATATTTTTACGTATTACGGACGGGCGTGATTGTAGATACAAATTAAACCAATCAAACCAACGCTCCCTGCCACCAGAATTGTTTAATGTTTATCAAACACTATGGTCGGGATCGACCGGGAATCGAACCCGGAACCACGCTCTGCTACCAGTTTGTTACGGCCTACGGCTGCTCCCTTAGAGGATCAAATCATCAGGGGCCCATGAGCTGAAGACTTCCCGAGCAGACGTAGGTCGAGCCTCAATGTGGCCACGTGGAATCTCTCTAATTACACTAAAATATATGGGGGAGCGTTACACTACGGCCAGTCGACCGGAAGGAATTTGGACGAAGCTTACTCACCTATATCCAAGGCGACTGGTCCCTCCGGAGTCGGTCAGGTCGCATGTGGTTGTGTAGTGCAAGGGAAAGAATGGTGATGTGGTGTGTATCTGGGTGTGACTGATGGTGATTGAACCTAGACCTTGGCCGTCGGCAGCAGCCCGAGCGTCGACACCGCTCCAACTTGAGGGGGCCTTTCGAGGTTGTCCACAGTCACTTTCTTCTTTCGTCACGTTGACAGTCAATTAACTCTATCGTACGATTTACTAACTTACAGAATCCACTAACTATCGCTGGTTATAAGGTTAACACACAAAACGCACACGGAGTTTACAGTTTATTAAAGGTCACTACCGTTTCGCGTCGCAACAGTTGGTTCTAGAATATCGTGAGGCCGCACTAGCTAATATTGCCTAATGCACTTATGCCGATTCTGAGTCAAACACAATGAGTCCCTGGGAAGCTCTCCAGCAGGAATGCGCGTCACAATGATAGACCGTATATTTACTGGCCGCACCGAATTATTCCGAGTTCCCTAACAGAATACAGCGTGCCAATCGTTAGCACCGCTTATGGACGACTGCCCTTGGGCGTTTTACGCACGACCGAATGTCAAACTGGTATGACACTGAGCCGCACGCCCTCTCGCGTTCGTTCCTTGAAAGTGTTTGGCGCGAACAGATGTGTTATTATTGAAAACTGTTAGACTAAGTATGTGATTTACAAGGATTAATAGTTTCTTATACTTTAATTTTAATTGTGATTTTGAAATAAAATTGTGAGTCTGTTGAACCAATATTTTTATTTAATATAAATAACCAAAATATTTTAAGAAAATATAATTACTTACATAACTTTTTAAATTTTATAAAACTAATTTTACCGGCATATCAATATTTAACTGCTAGACCTATGAGTTATCTATTTATACCTACATTTAAACTTTCCAGTTAGTAAGATTCATTGTTAAATTGCCATATCTTACATGGCGTTATGGAAAATATGTTGATTGTAATATATTACATAGGTAGTTAAAATTTAAAATTAACAAAATTACAATTTTAGTGTACATTAGAAATGAAATTAAAAACAAAAAAATTAATAAAATAAACATGAAAACATTCCCATAAAAATGAAGTAAGTCCTTTTTATTTTACATTTTACAGAAATGCTATTGTTGATGTTGTAGTGTTTTGTTTGCGAATCCATTATTAATGACAGCAGATAAACCCTCTAAGGCTCTGGCTATATTTTCCACAGCTACAGCATTACGATCTAATGCGGTAGAAACATTTGCAAATACTTGTGCAGTTATAGTTTCCGCCCTGACACGTTGCTCCTCAATTTGTACCAGTTGTTCCATATCTTGATTATTTCTTGTGACAGAACGACATTGCCTGACACGTGGCATGGATTTAAGTTTTGATTCTGAAATTAAAATAAAGCATATTTTAAAACAGATGTCTCAGATAACAATGCATCCATTCCATAACCATAAAATATGAACATTTAATATTGAGATGGAATATTTGGATTGAATGTTTTAAGCATCACATGAATTTATAAAGATCTTTCAAACTTTTAGAAATACTTTCACCTACTTAAGAAAATGACATGCTTAACATTTATTTATGTTTATAGTTGAAAGGTTGTTGACAAAAAATCAGTGGGTTACCCTTTTTAAGCCACTTATAAGTATGATGCATACAGATTGCAAGTCTGTAACTGCTTCAAGCTAAAGGGACTATAATATACTTCATTATCATCATAATTACAGCCCTTAACAAGTCCACTGCTGAACATAAGCCTCCCAAGAAGAATGCCATAAGGCAAGGTAATAAACTTAAATTTCCTAAATTATAATAGAACCTAAATTTTGGTTAATGTAAGTCACATTCTATTATGATAAAAATAGCTTACTTTTATGCGGAGGTGATTGTGGTGTACCCTGGGAGGTGCCAGGAATGGGGGACATACAAACTCCTATCACTACTTCTTCATTTTCTGATTGTAAATTTATTTTTTCTGCTGGAGAAGCCAAAGGGTTTGCTTGTATCATTTGATGTTCCTAGAAATTTACAAACATAATATGGTTATAAAAATCTATCTATAAGGCTACAGAGAGAATACACATTTTCTTTTTAGATTAACAAACATTATTTAAAAGTTAGTATAGTAACTAAGTTTACAACATTTTTGTAAATAATTACCGAGTGGTGAAAAGGATCTACTGCAAGTTGACAGTCTCCAAAAGCAAACTCTTGACCACCCATAACTGCCACCAATCTCTTGTCCAACTCTGATAACAAGGGCAGGTCATCAGCAAAACCACCACCAGTGCGTCTCATGGATTTACTATGCTGAGCACACAATTTTTTCATTTCTTCTCTGCCCAATACTAAAAACCATGCATAAGTTATTTAAATATAACAGGTAAAAAAAGAAGTATTCACATTTTTAAATATATTAATAGACTTACTTTAGCCCAACCTTGGCCATCTTTATTTGCTCCTCCCAATGAATTTAAAGTTATAGCCACAGATGCCCATTGCCTCTTTATTTCCATCATAGATAACACCTATATACTAGGAAATTACCATTTTTTCTTGATTTGTCCGTAGCAAACCTTTCGCAATTCCGACGTTTTGTTCCAGAAATTCAACTAAAGTTTCAATTTGTGCTAGAGTTGGACGATTAGCCATGTTACTCTGACAATGAACTATTGAACTATTTCGAAATAATCAGCACTAAACTTTTCAAGTCTTTAAGTATTTTAGTATTTTGAAATTGAGTTATGATATATTTTTCAAGTATGTCTAACAAAAAGAGGGTAAAGGCACACACACTTTACAGGCTATAAAAACCAGGGCTCGGAACCGGTTTAAAAAGAGCGGTTAATTTCGATTAATTACCGGTAAATTTATCGCTCTTCAATTACCGGTTAAAAAATTAACCGGTTTTTATTAAACCTAAACGATAAAGGTTACCGGTTACTTAACGGTTTCGACACCCAAATTAACCGGTTAATTCCGTAAAACGTAAAGGCAGTTATGAATAGGACAGGTAGATTCACGTTGCGAGGTGCTTATGCGGCATTGCCGCATGCGGGCACACTTATCAATTATCTGCATTTACATTGTTTTAGTCGCGATCAGGGTGTATAGTGGGAGTTTGGCGTTTACGAAAAACGTGAAATTAGAGAAGTTTTGAAGAAAGAAAGGCAGTTATTGTGTTCGATTTATTCGTTAAAACTGGACTTGTCTCATAATGAAGAAAATAATTTATTCTTGTATATCGGTTGTTTATTTATGATGGGCAGAAAAAAAGTAAATAGAATTTATTCCATGTTTACGTTTTAACAGTGATAGAGCCACGCGCAGCTTTTGCTATCGCATAGATCGGCCAGCTTGAACCAGGGTAGTACCACCACCTCACAGAATACAAGCGTGAAGTAGAAGTTTACTTCTGCGTTTCGCTCGGTAGGTGTAGGTGGTCGGAGGCCCAATTCCCCCCCCCCCCCCCCCTTAAGGTAGCGGAATCAAATAAAAAACTACCCCAGGGGGGTACCAGAATCCTGGTGACGGAGAATCCTTCGCTGAGCACCCACGCCCAAGCTACCCTACTGTTCCTGAGCATGTGTGCTCAAGCTGCTCCGCGTATTCTGGTATATGGGGGAAGGGGGGGGGGGGAGTATCCGCAGAGATCGTGTACTTGGCGATTTTAACGACCATCACGCCGAATGGCTCGGTTCACATTTAACCGATCATGTGGGGAAATTCGTTTATGACTTTGCCTTGGCATATGGTTGCACAGCTGGTTACTTTGCCTACGCAGATTCCAGATGTGGAGGATCATGTGCCTTCCCTGTTGGAACTTCTGCTGACCTCTTATCCGGACGGATATCAGGTTTCCGTCGACACCCCTCATGGCTCCTCACTCACTCACACTATCATCGCGGTTGCATCCTGCAGGCAGCCGCCGTGTTTAGCACTATAGATTGGCCGATTGGGAAAGGATGCAGGATGCGGTCTTTTTTTGCATTCTACCCTTGAGGGCGAATTTGCTTCTCGCTGGACAATCACAGCAATTTTGCTGATTCTGTTGCTGATATGGTACTTGAGGATATGGAAATTTTAATTCCATCTTCTGTGGTGCCCATCGGAGGCAGATTCCAGCCATAGTTTGGTCGCTCATGTACCTGCTACCAGCACTGGGCTGACGACATCTTTACATTCCGAGACGTTGATGTATCGAGATGTAAACACCAGCGCTCTTCAAAAGAAGTATGATTCCACCTCCAGGTTCTTCAAAATTCATTGCTAAGGCAAGGTCAAAGCACATCAGCGAAGTTGGTGAGAGGCTAGTTCGCTTTCCTTCGGTAACCCGTGCATTCTGGTCTCTTGCTAAGGCTGTCCAAGGGAACTTCTGTCAGCCATCTCTGTAAAGAGAGGGTGACTCACTGAGTCCATGCCACAAAGGAGGAAGCCGATTTGTTAATCTCTCTTTTTGCGTCCAACTCGACTCTCGATAACGGAAGAATACACCACCGACCATCCCGCGGTTTGAGTGCTCCATGCCAGATGTGCGGCTTATACAGCGCTCGGTTCCCTTCCATTGTGCTGAAGACGTATGCTCCGAAGTTGGAACCTGTTTTAACGCGTCTTTTCCGGTACTTCTACTCCTAAGGCGTTATCCCAAGACGGTAGTGGAAGTGGAAGACAGCTTTGGGTCACCCGATCCCTAAAAAAGGCGACCGCTCAGACCCTTCAAACTACAGGCCTATCGCCATCACCTCCTTGTTCTCCAAAATAATGGAATCTATACAATTTTCGTCGGGGTTGATCAGTTGATCTTCCGGTCTATCTAACTCATATATGGGTGGAGGCAGTAGAGTCCAAGAGGTAGGCATTGGCCATTAGTTTGGACATTGCGAAGGCCTTCGATCGGGTTTGGCACAAAGCGCTTCTTTCGAAGCTCCCTTCTTAAAGGCTTCCCGAGAAATTGTGCAATTGGATCACGAGTTTTCTTGCTGATCGGAGTATCAAGGTCGTAGTAGGCGGTGCATGCTCTGATTACAAGCCTGTTAACGCTGGTGTTCCATAAGGCTGCGTGCTATCACCAACGCTGTTTCTACTGCATATCAATGATATTTTGCAAACTGGTAACAACGACAGCACTGGTGATGCAATATACACCGGCCGTGCCAATATTTCTCGGGAAACGTCTCCAAGTACCGGAACAAAAGTAAAGTAAAGTAAAGTTGCAGCCTTTATACGTCCCACGGCTGGGCACAAGCCTCCTCTTATTTCTGAGAGGGTTTTAGGGTAAGTAAATGTCCGCTGCGCTGCCCCAATGCTTGTTGGCGAACTTCATATGTCTTCGAGATATATTTTTTTTATTTCTCAGACATGCAGGTTTCTTCACGATGTTTTCCTTCACCGCCGAACCCGTGGTAAATCGGCACTTAAAATTGCAATTAATAATTTCATTGGAGCCGGCGGGGATCGAACCCGAGTTTCTCACGTACTGTGAGACTTACAGCGAGTGTCAATTCTTTGCTGAACAAAGTCTCGGATTAAGGGCGGCTAAATCTAGTCCAGTTCAATCCCCAGAAGACACAAATTTGCACGTATACCGCTAAAAAGAACCCCTGTGTCGTATCTCCTCAGTTTTAAGGCACTCCCTCACTGCTTCAACTAGCATCGGCATCCTCGGCGTCGACATATCGAATAGTGTGCAGTTTTGGGGTCACTTGGAAGGGAATGCCAAATTGGCCTATAAAAAGCTTGGCGTGCTCAGCAGAGCGAGGCAGTATTTCATGTCGGCACATCGCTTGCAACTTTACAAAGCGCAAATTCGGCCTCTCATCTCTGTGACGGGGCACGCCAGTGTCAGCTCCAGCCAGCACGCCAGCATCCAGCGCATAGCGGTTCGAGTCGTCGACGTCCGGATTCTTTCTGATCGGCTCGATTGACTGGCACTGCGTAGGGATGTTGCATCTCTGTGCATTTTCTATCGAATTTACCACGGGAAGTGCTCTGAGGAATTGTTCGGTTTAATTCCAGCCGCCAAATTTCAGGAACGCACATCGCGTCAAAATTCACGATATCGTGACCTCACCATCTGGATGTTTGACGGGCCACCACTATGCGTTTTACTAGGAGTTTTCTTCCTCGCACAACTTCTCTGTGGAATTGTTAACCATCGGTGATTTTCCCGGGCCGATACGACTTAGGGACATTCAAGAAAAGAGCTCACTCCTTTCTTAAAGGCTGGCAACGCACCTGCAATTCCCCTGGTGTTGCGGTTGTTCATGGGTAGCAGTAGTCACTTACCATCACGTGACCCGCATGCTCGTTTGCCCCCTTTTCTATAAGAAAACGTACGACGAGAAAACCCAAAAATCTAAGTGCTTGATTTAGGGCTCAATACGACTATCACGGTGGTTTCTAGAACACTCATTATACCCAAATTAATCCAATAACGGTACTTGGCACGACCTGGGACACGATTTAAGCCCAGGACCAAATCATAATTCACAGTCGCGCTAGTAATCACATACAGACAGACAAAATTATATACTTTCATGATATGTATTTAGTAAAAATCTGTTATTTTGACGTTACGAACAGACACTTCAATTTTATTTATTTGAATAGTTTCGTATTCGTAAAGAATGATAGTTTGTAAAAAATTCGAAAGTGATTACTATATTATTTTGATCTTGAGGCGTTAGAAAATTTGACTGCACTTTTAATAATTCTCTTTTATAATTCTTTACATGATCGTAGATATCAGTGTGATTTATACTGATGATCTAGTTAATTGGGAGTTATTAATAATTACTTTAAATGAAAGACAGGATTTTTTAGTGTATGTATTTGTTTACAGTCGACAGCAAAGTATAGCCGAATTTATTCAAAATGATTCGTTACATTCAAATTATTCTTCTTTATTAATTTTAGTATCAGTTAATTTAATTTCGTCTATGTGATTACCTTGCACTCTATTTAGAAAAGCTAATATTTTTATTAGCATCTTGTACGCACAACATGATAACATTTGCTCCAATTCCTCATTAATGAGATGTGAAAAATGGTAATTTCTTTTGTTAGAATTCTCTGAATATAACAAATAATTTTTGTCGTGTTTAGACATGACTTCTAGTTAAACTTTACACCTCAGAAGTGGTCATTATTAATTTTGCAAAGACGGAGATAGAGGTTGGTCGTAATTAGGAGCTTCTGAATTTAAAAAAAAATCTGGTAATCTGCCTCACTTTAGTCCTAAAAAGAACAAAAATACTATAACATATAATTTCATAAACTTTTAAAAATATTGTGTTCTG